CCCACCCCCTTAGAGATCGTGGGGGGTGGGGGTATGGTTCACATGTAGTCACAAAGTATGGGTACCTTTTCCTCCTCTGAAAGTCGGGGGTTGGGGGAGAAGAGTCGCCTGCGGAAGAATGATCCGCGCGGCATGAAGGCAAGGCCACACGTGGAGACCGAGCCGGCCTTCGCCCGACAGGAGCTCTCTCGGACAGCTTGGTTTGCGACGAGCGGCAGTGGCGCGGAAAGCGAGAGCCGCATCTTGAAAACCAGCCGCCTGACAACCCCCCCCCAAAAAAAAAAATCGAAAAAGCCAAAAGCGCGTTGGGCTGCTCTCAGTCCACCCGTTCCTCCTCCTCCTCCTCCCCCTCCTTGGGCGCTGCTGGCCCCCTCTTGGCGGCGCGCACGATTGTGACTTCTGTATTCGAAATTATCGTTTGAGAAATGTGTGCCAACTTCCCGGAATGTTCTTAAGACAGACCTGGGCCGGTGTCTGCCCTTCACGCTGGAGGAGCGATTGTGCTCAGGAGACTGGGCCAACGTTCCGACAAGTCGGTTGAGAACCGCTGGTCCAGCTTTTTGGGAGGACGTTTCCCAATCAGATGCTCAACAGTACACATCAGTGAAGCTTTTAGACTTACCAGGCGCGGCGCCAAGGCGAGTGCCACCTGTTGAAGACCCAACACCCTCCAAATGTGCGGCTATTGGATACCAAGCTTCATGGCCACATACGGTGAGGAAATCCCAAGTGAAACGACACGCCACGCTCGCCCTATCGTCACGCATAGTGGTGCGACCATGCATGCGTGCGTCTGCACATATACAATGCAAACAGACGAACATACATACATACAAACAGCCATACATACACACATACACAAATACACACATACACAAATACATACACACATACATACACACATACATACATACATATAGATAGACAGACAGGCAGACAGGCAGACAGGCAGACAGGCAGACATACATACATGCAGACATACAATACATACATACCTACCTACCTACCTACCTACCTACCTACCTACATACACACATACATACATACATACATACATACATACATACATACATACATACACACACAAATAAACACATACATACATACATACATACATACATACATACATACATACATACATACATACATACATACATACACACACACATACAAACATACATATATACATACGTACATACATACATACATGCATGCATACATACATGCATATATGCGTACATGCATACATGCATACATGCATACATACATACCTATCCTATATACATACAAACATACATAAATTCATCCATCCATCCATCCATCCATCCATCCATCCGTCCATACATACATACATACATACATACATACATACATACATGCACACCTGCATACATACATGCATACCTGCAGGACAGACAGACAAACATAACTACAAACATACACGCACATACATATGCGTATACCTACATGTACGTATGTATATATATATATATATATATATCAATAGATCCGCAACCGTGCCGCGAGGCGCGAAGTGGAGTTTTCGCCAGGCTCTCATGTGTCCTCGGTTCTCTGTACTCATGACTCCAGGATTATAGTCTTCTAAGGGCTGGGGCCCCACATTCTCCAATCGCCTGGGCGTTCCCGCGCGTTCTTCGACTGCCTTGAATGACTCTTCCAGGGGCCAGAGGGCCCCAAGACGGGCCAAGAGGGCAAAGCGCTCAGGAGGGTCCAAGAGGCCTCCAAGGCAGCCCAAGAGCGCTCCAAGACGCCCAAGATGGCCCCAAGACGGCCCGAGAGGCCCCAGAGGAGGCCCAAGAGTGCTCCAAGAGGACCCCCAAGAGGGCCCAAAGAGGCAAAAACAGTGATGTTCCTTGTGTGTTACGATGTACTTCGAATTCTTGCGTTTTCGGGCTTCTGACGCTCTAAGATGACCCCAGACGCCGAGGCCGCCACAAGACGGCCCAAGAGGCCTCCAGGAGGGCTCCAAGACGGTCCAAGAGGGCCCCCGACAACCTCCCCAGAGCCCAAGCACATTGGAACACCCTCGGACACCCAAACCAGCTCATGGAACGAAGGTTGTGACCCGTTGTAGCCTACACAACCTGGGCCATACTTCTTTGGCAAAATGTAGGGAAAACGCTGAGCCGGCCTTGCGCACACACATCCCACGCATGCGCAAAGGAGCCGGAAGCTGGCCCGGCTCCTCAGAAAGGTGCCGAAGGCCAAAACGAGGCGCAGCTGCACTTGCGAGCTAATCGTTCTTTAGGGGGGAGGAAGGCGTCTTCGCAGTGTGGCATTCCATATTTTCCCGGCTACCTATTGATTCGCGGTGCAGGTGATGCCAAGCTGAACTCAGATGGTGCTGGTGCTGGTGGTTGGTGCTCAGATGAGCCCGGGAGACCGTGGCCCATCCCTCGGGCTGATGCTGATGCGCGCCCACGTATGTACGGTGGTACTGCAGTCTGGCCCCTCAGGAGTATGCCCAATGCCGAATGCCCCAGCGCCACATTGACAAGAGGCACGGCAAACCAATCGAACCAAACCAACCATCGCAGGATGACTTCGAGAGGAAGGTCAGGTTAGCATGATGGGTGCTCGCAGAGAGAGATTGGCCTTGGCGAGCTCGTATGCGTTGACAGCGTTGGTTTCCGCCTTCGTCGTCTCAAGCTTGTCGTTCTCGAACTTCTGCTGAAGTTGCTTGAGCATCTCGATAACCTACCAAAAACTGCTTCGGGCCGTTCGAATGGAAGGACCGGACGATTCAAGAAGGGACGGCGGTGAAAGCAGATGCAAGGAGGGTCGACGGTACACGGGAGGAACAGGAGAGGACGAGCAGGCAAAAGAACAGGGCAGAGAGTGAGTGCGTAGGAAGATGAGAAGAGCAATGCGCGAACTCATTGCTCACATACTCCTGCTCCTCGCCAGGGGACCCGATTGCGATTGGAAACCTCGGAGGAGATGTTGTCAAAGCTCCAGGCGCACCCACAGCGCATGCAGCAGAGAAACCGAGAAGCCTCAAAAAACAGCGAAGGCCTGGGACCCACACATTCACAACATCACGGATGCATCAAGGGTTATGTCGGGCGTGTCCCCCTACAGGGGGATGTTCGACGAAAGATAAACAAAAACCCAAACATGATATTGTTTGACCTTTTTGGGGTATGTTTTGAATATCTTTTATTTTTAGTCGAAAATCCCCCTGTAGGGGGACAGGCCCGACTGAAATCAAGGGCCCCCCCATCTGCGATCTCGAGGGGCCCTCACGGAGCACCCCCATGCCAGGACGGCACATGCTGCACGTCGGGAGGGCATGCTATATAATGTTTTTTGTGCTGGTGGAGGCGACAGCTCGTCAACATCGGAGAGGGCCTGTGGGGGGGAGGGAGGACACGAACACCTGCGGGATGGCGTGCGCGCCTCCAGGCGCCTCCTCGTCTATAGAAGCGCGTTCCGCTACTCACAAATAGGGGAACAAACAATGACACAAACATAGAAACTCAGAGCTCCGCGCGGATTTCTCGGATCCGCGCTGGACCCCCTTGGCGGCGCCTCCGGCGCCACCCCTGGCGCGCTCCGCGCGCCAAGGAGGGGGGTCCAGCGCCGATCCGAGAAATTCGCGCGGACCTCTGAGTTTTTATGTTTATGTAACTTTTTGTCCCCCTAACAAAGTAACTACTCGCAAATGGCCTGGATCCGCCGCGGGGGATTTACGATACATTACGTCGGGGCGCCTAACTACTGTTCGGGCGTTTGCGAGTGGGCACTCTGCGAGTCGTGGAACGTGCTCGGTGATCATCCTGGGCTCGAGAGTCTGGGGGGGAAGCCTGGGAAAGCAGCTTCCTGTTACAGGCAGTGGCAGCACCTCGCTCTGCCACTCCGGGCGCTCCCAGAGGAGGCGCGAGCTCATGCCGGCGGCTGCGCCCGCGGCACGGGAACGGGGCTGCCCTTTTTCGCGCTCCAGGCGGTCAGGCTGTGAAAGGTCGCGGGTCTGCACTGCGAGCCTTGAGGAGCCAGACAGGGGAAGGCCAAGGTGGGCAAGGGGGGGGGATACTGCACTGGTGACTGCGAGGCAAAATGAGGGCGACCGCAGTGCTGCGAGCCTATTGCGCTTGCACTTATGGCTGCGAGGCAAGGCGGGGGAGCAGCGTTCGCCCGCGCCATGCCCTCGCCGTTGTCTCCAGGGGTCATCGCATCTGGCATCCAAGGATTCGAGGGTGGTGAGCGGCCGATCGTGGACTGAGCCTTCCTCATCGTTCTGTCCTGGAAAGCTGGCCCTGCTACGCGTCGCCTTCTCAGCAAGTGAGGAGCCACTATTCGGCGAAATTGAATCGACCGCGTCGCTTACGATGGGCTGGCCTGGCTGCGCTAAGCAAGGTCGATACATATGTGATGTCCCGAGTTTGGGTCCTGGAACCACTTTCGAGCGTATCCGACCTGCCAGCCCCATCTTCCCCCAACTCCTCTTTGCCTGCTGCTCATACTGACCTCCCTCCCCAAATGTCAGCATCCGCAACCTCGAACATTCCGGGAACGGTGTCGCCGCGGGCCTCTGCTTGATCACACCAGGGCCCGAGAACATCCCCTCTGGAGGAGGACATTGCAAAGAGATGCCCGATGCGTTTTGGGAGGGGATGCGGGAGAGGGAGCTAATGCTAGGCGAACTCTCCTCCCCGAAAAGGCTGCCTCACGATGGGCAAGGACGCCTCTGACGAAAAAATGGAAGCGCAAGGGCGATGCTGACGAAAACTGCGCGCCCCTTTCACATAAAAGAATCCACGGCGCGTGCGGATCACCTCACATAACACTCCAAGAAGCTGGATGGCACTACTGCAGCGTGCCAGCAGCTCCCGGCTAGACACTCTATACACCGCGCCTGCAGAGGAGACACGGAGAGGGAGCAGCGGGAGGAATCGCAGGAGGACGAGCAGAGGGACAACTTAAATTGGAAGGCGTGGGGCCCGCAGGATACCGCTGCCGCGCGTGCCCCACGGGCCGAG